CATATATAATGGAGAGTATGGCTTACCTCACTGCAGGAATGATGGACAGGCCAGGCTTTGAAGACTGCTCCATGGAGGCCGCCATGGTCAAGGTAATTCATCTTATTGAAAAGGCTTGGTATGGCTGTAGGTGAACAACACCTTTCATGTTGTTTAGTTGACGTTCCAAGTTGCTGAGAGGTTCAGGTATTGCATTTAGACATGGGATACAAAAACATCAGCAAAGTGAAACAACAGACATCAGTGTTTTCTCTACATCCCACGTACTGTTGATTCAGCATCTCAGCTGTGGCTGCCCCATCCCTGGCAGTGTTCAAGGCCAGGCTGGACACAGGGGCTTGGAGCAAGCTGCTCCAGTGGAAGGGGTCCCTGCCCGTGGCAGGGGTTGGAACTGGATGAGCTTTAAGGTCCCTTGCAACGCAAACCATGCTGGGATTGTATTCTCTGTGTACTGAATAGCATGGTGATGAGACTCCTGTTCCACCGCAGGTGTTCAGTTCTGAAGGTGCCTGGACTTGTGTAAGTGAAGCACTGCAAATCCTTGGAGGCCTTGGCTATATGAAAGATTACCCCTATGAGCGGTACCTCAGAGATACCAGGATACTCCTCATTTTTGAGGCAAGTAGCAATAGACTGGGTTTGCTGACAATAATATACGGGGTTTTTACCTGGCAGATGTTCTGACCACTAAAATCAGAATCCAGTATGAGGAGAGCTTTCTAACGTGGAGTGCTTTTTGCGTGTGACCAGCCTTCTGTGTTCTAATCATTGTTCTTCAGCCACCAGTATTAAAACAATCACTCATACAATCCCTTTACTCAAGACATCAACTCCTATGGTATAATCTCAATTGCTTGGTCTGCATTTGCTTTCAAACAGGCATATTGTGCAGTTCCACAACTATTTAAGTGTTCCTTTACCAGAGCAATGCAGCGTTTGCTTTTTACTCCAGATGCATTTAGTCTGGTTTCTTTTTCATTGTGATGCACACATGTTTAATAATGAGACTTCACAGTGAAATAGAATCAGAATTTGTAATGGAGATAAAGCAAAGTGGCAAACAGCTGTGGACAGACGAAGGGTGACGTTTTAATATGAGGACAACAGAAAAAGAAGACTGATAAAAACAGACCTGCCTGGGAAACACTTATTGGTATTGGGAACTTTATTGTTAACTGAAGGACTGTTCTTCGAAATGCTACATAATTTTGAGTACATGATACAGCCACTGTAATGTTCGGTCCAGATGCATTTTAGAGCATCTCGGGGAAAAGCACAGCTCAAGTTCCTGAGACATCGTGAGCAGGATTAGGGGGCAGGAAGCAAACAGACTAGAAGCAGAGCTGATGTAGATCTGTTAAAACCACTTTGCGTGTGAGACTGGTGCCACGTTGTGCTGTTTCTTGCAGGGAACAAACGAAATCCTGCGCATGTACATTGCTTTGACGGGGATGCAGTACGCGGGCAAAATCCTGACCGACAGAATTAAGTAGGTTCTCATTTATTGCTAATAGTTCTAATAAATTGGTCAGAATCTTTTAACTGTTCAATGACAGCCAAGAGAGGAAACTGTAGGAAAGTCCCTGCAGTGTTCTCCAGTGTATTATCTGCCTGAAAAGGTACTTCAGTGTTACAGGTTGGGGGGGATTGGTTTTGCATGTTTTAGGGATCTTGTCCCGATTGGACTTTGTTTTGTAATTCCAGCTTGTGTAAAATCCTTTCTTATGGGACCAGTCATTAAAACTGTGTAACTTCACGTTTAGTGCTCAGCCAGCTGGGTTGTACATCCTGAGTCCTTGTGAGAGGAGCGGAGTGTGACCCTTGCTGTGCACTTCTGAGGCTGTGTAACTGTTCATAGTGAAATGGAGCAGAAGAGCTGATGGTTCTGGGACAATGTGCAGGTGTTTGGGTAGAGCACTGAGCGTCGTTTTCTGACCCTCCACAAACTAATGGCCTTTAACAGCTGTCCTGTGCCTGGCCCTGCAGGGAGATCAGGAAAGGCAACGTGGGAGTGGCCCTGGGAGAGTTCGTGAACAAATTCCGGGACACGATGGGCAGAAAAGTGGATCTGGGGCTCGTGGGTGACCGTGGAGTGGTGCATCCCAGCCTGCAGGTGAGGGGGACGCAGCTCCTGGAGCACACTGGGCCACGCAGCGGTTCCCTGCACTGCTGTCACATCCCAGTGTCCTGTTTGTGCCGAACACAGGGGGTGCATAGGAACGGGGAGAGGCACAAACAGAAGCTGATGTTTATACCATTTCACAGGGATAAGGACTGAGGTACTGTGGGTACACACCAAGGTAAAATGAAGACTGCTCTAAGTCTGTATTTGTAACAATTCCAGGTTTATATCCAATTTAATAATCCATTTGACACTTCACATACAAAAGGCTTTGTAATGGTCTGTTGCTGCCCTTCATAATCAGCTCAGTTACAAAACACAGGATTTTTTCCTGTTTAACAGTAACAGTTTCACGTAAGAATTGCTGTGAACCATTTCTGTACATACTGGAGCACTCATGGCATCATTTTTATGATGAATGTTCTGTTAATACAAAAAGAGATAAGGTTTGTTTTTCCTGGCATGTCAGTGATTTGAAAAGCTGTAACATGGTGGTTGTTCCTGTGATGTATCTCTGCTCCCCCCCTTCCCCACACAGCCATTTCAGGCACACACGTATGAGGATTTGTTGGGACTTGCCCTTCCATGAGGAACCTGAACAACGTGGAATCTCCTTCAGGTCCATACCCCATGAGCTGCAGTGGGACGTGGGGGATTGTCTGAACTGGAGCAGTTCTGACCCAGCCTCACACTGGAGCGGAGTGTCCTCTAGCTCCAGACCCACTTGCAGTCGTATTGCAGGGATCAGCATAGAGAGTTGAGTTGGAAAGGAATTCAAAGCCTCATTTAGTTCTAACTTGTGTCAGCGCCTCAGCACCCTCACAGGGAAGAGCTTCTGCCTAAGAGCTCATCTCAGTCTCCCCTCTGGCAGGTTAAAGCCATTCCCCTTGGCCTGTCCCTACATCCCTTGTCCCAAGCCCCTCTCCAGGTTTCCTGCAGCCCCTTCAGGCACTGGAGCTGCTCTCAGGTCTCCCCTTCAGGAGCCTTCTCTTCTCCAGGCTGAACCAGCCCAGCCAGATATGGCACTGGACATTTTCTTCCAAGGTAGAACCAGGATTTGACCCTGTTGGTGAGCTCACACAGTACTGCCACATAAACTCAGTTGTCAGGGTTCTCATAACCTGCAGCCCTTAGAGTAAGAGTGAGGTTTGCTGTGCATTAATGTTAGTTGGGCTTCAGGACACCAGGGTTGCATCTGACCAGTGGGGTTTTTCCCCTTGGAAAAGAATCAACATTTTATAATCCCATTCCTTTTAGGGAGATCATCCGGGCTCCTGCTCCTCAGGGAATGCCTCCCTGGGGAGCGCCTGTCGTGGCTGGACATCCGGTGTAAGGGGGTGTGGGTGTGCTTGGTTTGCCCTCAGAAACCCACTCAAATTGTTGTATTTTCTGTATTTTATTTTATAGGAAAGTGGCAAGAAACTGGAAGAGAACGTTTACTATTTTGGCACAACCGTGAGAGGCCTGCTCAGTAGGTTTGGCAAGGTACCTGTTACTTTCTCTGTTACCTTTGTTATTGAATGGCTTACCCCAACCAGAGGAGCCTCACTGGAATCTTGAGTGGACTCCGTGTATGGCAAGAGCCAGGACTTCCTTTATGTAACACGTGATGAACAACTTAGGTTTAAAACAAAGGCCAGACCCCACCAGTCTTGCTGCACTGGTTGTTTTCTCCACCTGTAGGCACAAACCCAGTGAGCCTGCCCAGGGGCTGTGGCAGTCACTGGGACCCACTGCCCCGTTCCCAAAGCAAGAGCTGTTCCAGCAGGTTTTGAACTGGTCAGCCGTGGTGTACAGCAAACGCACCTGTAGTAACACCGTGCAGAGGGTGTAGCTACAGCAGCACTGATCCTTGAGTACCTTGGGTTTTCAATTCTGTGACACTGGTGTGTGCTGAGAACGCTTCTCAGACCAGGCCCCACACCTTCCACTTCACCTCATGCATTTTTTGAACAGGTTGATATATTTAGTACTTAAACTTCAGTGACTGGGGCATTTACCAAGTGGGTTCAAGTCGCAGCAGTTTCAGGGCTGGCTGCAGCCAAGGGGCTGTTACAAGGCAGAGCACAGTTAACCCAAAGCTTTCTGCCTTAGGGGAGAACCTGTCTGTGCTGAATAAGTGTGACCCTAAATACAAAGTGTGAAAAAAAGTGTTTGGTTAAGGTTTTAAATTGACAACCAACTACTGATCACTTCTGTAGACGATCGTGGAAGAGCAGCTGGTCCTGAAGAGAGTGGCAGATATAGTTATTAATCTATATGCAATGACAGCAGCTATTTCCAGAGCCAGCCGGTCCATCAGCATCGGTCTGAGAAACCATGACCATGAGGTGGGTACCCTCAGGATCAGTCACACCATTCTGTGTCTGGAGCTCCACAACCAGGGCCTGTTCCCATTCTGCCTCCCAACGTGCTTTGTATCAAGAGGCGCTGGGCCTCATGTGCAGGAGCGTGATGCTTCCTCACGAGAGCTCCAACCCAGCCAGGCCTGCATCCTGATGTCTGCTACGCTGCAAAGCCTCAGTGACACGTGGCTTTCACCATGCTTCAGCTTGCTCTCTCTGTTTGTTACGGGTTTATATCTACCACAGCAGACTCTCTGTAAGGCAGTGCACCAGAGTGCTTCTGACCTGGTTGGTGCAGGGCTGCAGTAACCACAGCAGTTGCCTCTCAGTGCTCTGCACACTGTCTGGGTGTTGAAAGTAGCTGAACGCACACACGTGTGTTCATGAATGAAGTACAAGTCTGCATGGTCTCCTAAACCTGTTGCTACCATGCAGTCCTTTCCATACAGTCATTCATCAACAGTAACACGTAACAATAACAGGATTTTGTCAATTAATTCATGGACAGTGAAGTGAGAGTTTGACACAAGTGATTGTATTTGAAGTCTTATGGTAACAGCAACGATACAGTTCAGTGTTAGACAAACCCAAACCAATTCATCTTCATCTTCACTGGTGGGGGTGGGCCTCTCCTGGACTTGCTACCAAAACCCTTTTCTGGTCCCTGTGGAGCGAAGGGGCCGTCCCAGCTCTGGCCCTCAGCAGCTGTGGGGAGAAAGCAAAGCCCAGTTTGAGCACCCACGGCTGGCTCCCAGGGCAGTGCTGCCGGGAGGCAGAACCACAGCTTCCCAGTGCAGCTGTGCAGAAATCGGGGTGGCTCTGGGTTGCCACCTGGCTGTGTGGTGCAGGTTGGTCCCCAGTGTTCACCTGAGTGTTGCTGTTCTCACAGGTGCTCCTCACCAACATCTTCTGCACAGAAGCGTATTTCAAGAATAATTACGCCATGGCTCAGTTAGAAAAATGTAAGTTCTGTAAAATCCAATCATTTTTATACTCGTATAAAATGCAGTCATTTTGTACTCTTAGAGCTTCACAGACTCTAATGAAGAGTAGGTGCATGTGTGTGTGATGTGACCAGCAGAGTAGTTCTGCTCTGCTTTTAATTCACATGAACAGAACTGGTACCAGATGAAGAAAGAGTCTTCATTTAATACATAAACCAAACTGCAGGGATTTTCTCCAGCTGTGGGGAGGAATATAAAGTCTATGAGTAGCCAACGCTCTTGTTAAGGGAATACAGATATTGATGAGGTACTGGACTGATCTGGTGGTGTATTGACCAGGACTGGTCTGGCTCTGTGAGACTCTGCCTGCAGTAACCAGTCTTCTCTGGAAGCTAATTCATTCCGTGGCACTGAGGGCAGCTGCTGCATTTCTGTTCTAAAAGCCTTTTGGAAAGGAACTTAGAAAAGCTCTTTATGGCACCTGAGGTAGCGTTTCCTTCTGGTTCTCCTCAGATGCAGATGAAAATCTGGATGACTACATCAAGAAAGCTGCAAAGCACATCCTGGAGAAGAGAGCCTACACGTGCTCCCACCCGCTGGACAGGACCTTCTGATCCCGGCCTGGCAGCAGATGCTGCTGAGTGTGTATCTGGGAGGCATTTTCTGCAGTTGAAGCATCTGACACCTTAGAAATAACCATTTAACGAGTTTACCAAATGGAACTGTGTCTAACAGTGTAAAATACACAACTTTATATAAAGAGGATAAATAAAGCAGTTTTATTTAAACCTGAGTTACCTTGTTAGGGGTGCGTGTGGCTGTTTCCTTGGAGCTAAGTGAAGAGAGCTGAGGTTCCGAGGGTGAGATGTGTTTTCCCAGGGACGGGATTGGGTGGTGGTTTAAGTTTGTATCAACGACCTGCTTACCTTTAGAGAGCCCTGGAGGGGCCACACTTGTCCTGCCAAGCACACTGCAGGCACCAACACCAGCCCCAGTGCTCAGGGGGGTCCGGGGAGGTCGAGTGTCCCTGAGGATGGGGCTGTGCTGTCCCACTGAGCTCCCACTTAAAGGGGCTTCCTTGTATGTAATCAGCACCCTCCATGCTCTGGCCTTGGCCTTCAGCCTGCACTGCCCCCTTTGCTTTGGTTTTTAAAACCAACAATTGGGGGTTATTTATATTAAAATATAAATTATTATATTAAATCGATGTTTAAAAAAGCCTCGCACAAAACAAGAGATTTTCCATGAGCATTGTTTAGATTTGATGCCAGGTTACACTTCGTTTTTCCTCTACCCTTCCACTAACCCCTAACAGAGCTCAGCCTCCTCTGAAGCATCCCAGCAAGGTCAGTTGTGTTTGGTGACACATTCCAACAGTGGCAGTTACTCGCTGGCCAGAAAAAGGGGGCTTCAGGTGAAGTTTTCTCTCTCTCTATCCAAAATTCCTAATGAAGAGTTGCAGTTTTTCAGTTAAAGCTGTAACATCACTGGGTGATGGGCTCACCACGGGGATCGGTCACTGGGACTGCGTCACTTCAGTGCTGTTGCTGCACAGCGCTCAGGGAAGCACCATTTGAACCAGGACTTTGGGTCTCCCAGTGCTGCAGCAGTTAAAGGCTGCTGCGGGCTCTGGCAGCGTGGTGGCCCTGCCCCAGCTGCCCCAGACAGGGAGTTTGTTGCCAGCATCCTGCTTGCTTCCAGCTGCAGCCCTGCTTTGCCTCTGGAAGATGGAGGCCAGCTGTGAGATGGCGAAACTCAAGCACAGCCCCTGAAACACCAAGGTCACCACAGGAGCTCATGAATCATCCTTTCACACATTGACACTCAAAGGGCCAGAGTCTGACCCTGTTCAGTGTGATTTATGTCCTGGGGGGGACGCTGAAAGATGACCTTGAGCAATTAAAGATAAGTGGTACCAGAGATGAGCTGATGGCGTGACAGCAAAATAAAGGCCAGAAGTTATCTCCCACCGTAAAGAACAAACCACCAATTAACCCCCTTCGCGTGGTTCTGTTCCTGTTCATGCTACGTTTGCTGGCTGATACAGTTTAATTCATTTGGAACGTCCAAATAACACGAAACATCTGCATGTTTGTGGCAGTTAAACCGGAAAAGTGAAAACTGCTCTGTGAGACCTCAGACTTAGGTTACAAACGCTGCGGCGTCCACTCTCGTGTGCGAGGCCAGGCACAGGGCTGAAGCGTCAGTGTCAACCAGCTCAGCCTGTGAGCATGTAGGTAATTTGTGCACAGGGACCCCCAGGGCCAGTCTGTACCAGGGGCAAACCAAATTCCTTCATTCTGGAGTTTGGATTTGAAAGGGAGCCCTCGCAGGACCACCGGGTTGCTCTCTATGACTTGGTTTGTTTCCCTGGGATACTCCCTAAGAACTACATTTACTGAGGTAGCAATGTGCTGTTGTAATGTCTGACACAGCCCACCTAAAATGACCTTGGCCCACGGCTGCCAGTTGTAGCCACTGGGTTGTCTTACCTGAAATCTGCCCCTCCGAGCTCTTCAGACACCTTCTGCTCGCTGTTGGGCTGAGGGTGCCGTCCCTGCAGCGCCTCAGCCTGTGCTGCCCATCGGGAGCCGGCACAAAGCTGCTGGAGATGCTCTGCCCCTGGGGCTGGGAGGGTGCTCAGCTGGGTGTCCGGGGAAGCCCCAGTGAGGGATGTCTGCACGGGGCGCTCGGGGGCCCCCAAGCACCAGGGAGGGTCCCCTTCTAAACCCATGGGATCCCCAGAATGTGAACTGAGAGCTGCTGCACCTCCCATGTTACAGAAATGAGCCCCTGCAGGCAAACTCCCCAGCTCAAGCACATGGTGCTCCAGCTCCGGTGCCATGAGAGCCTGAACTTCCGAGCGCTGCTTTATAAATAAAGCCCTTCTATGCGACCTCCGTGCTTCAAAACCCCTCAGCTACACATCACGAGCTGGCTGCCAGTGGAAACGGGCACCAACAAAACGGAACTGGATGAGCCCTGAGCTCCCTCCCAACCCAGGACCTTCCATGATTCCATGGAACAAACCCACCACGAAACCCAACCCCATCCGTGCCGGGCTGCCCACTGGAGAGACAGCCCCAGCCTGGAGGTGCCCCGGAGCTGTGGCACAGCACCCAGGCACTCTGCTTGCCCCACAGGTGCATTGAAATGTCCAGCAGGGATTCCCCGTCATCAACCAGGAAAGCTTGGAGGGGCTGATCCCCCCAGCAGCACTGCGGGAAGGCAGGATGTGAGCACACCTGACCCAGTGGGTGCGAGTGCGCTCCGGACACCTAAATAATGAGGGAGGGTGGAGGGACAGGGCAGCATCTGAAACACACAATCACAATGACAAAGGCTGGGCTGGAAGGGACCTTAAAGCTCCTCCAGCTCCAACCCCTGCCACGGGCAGGGACCCCTTCCACTGGAGCAGCTTGCTCCAAGCCCCTGTGTCCAACCTGGCCTTGAACACTGCCAGGGATGGGGCAGCCACAGCTTCTCTGGGCACCCTGTGCCAGCGCCTCAGCACCCTCACAGGGAAGAGCTTCTGCCTAAGAGCTCATCTCAGTCTCCCCTCTGGCAGGTTAAAGCCATTCCCCTTGGCCTGTCCCTACAGGCCCTTGTCCAAAGCCCCTCTCCAGGTTTCTTGTCAGCCCCTTTCACTGGTGAAAGACCTCCCTGGAGCCTCCTAACTGGTACAAACCCCACATAATTACAAGTCCGTATTTGCTTCCGCAGCAAAATGTAAATCCTGTTGGAGATACAAAACCTGTACCCAGGATCTGGCTGTAAACACTGTGCACTAACAGCACCAGGAGCTTGTGTCGGTTATCATATGGGGAGAGTGAGGGACTTAAGAGTATGTGCTTCAGGATAAGCGCAGGGACCTTGGGAAGGGCTCTGGGAGCAGCCGAGGGACAGCCCCAGTGACCCTTCTGTGCTCCAGCAGCGTCCAGACCTGCACGGCTGAGACCTTCAATCAGCGAGCCAGGACCCTGCTCAGGAGGACAGGGAGGGCAATTTGCTGCTGCAGCACTTGGCAACCAGCTCTGAGCTGCTACAGCAGAAACAACCCTTCACGGGAAGGAGGAGGCGAGCCCAGAGAGAGACACGGGGAGAGAACACAACAGCGTAAGAACGTGTGGGTAATAGAGGGGAACAGCACTGAGCTGGCTGGGGGAGCTGAGATTCACCCTTCTGGAAACAACTTGTCCTGGGTTCAGCAGCAGCAGTCATTTTTCTCCTTAGTAGCTGGTGCAGTGCTGTGGTTTTGACTCTCAGCCTGGGAACAGCGCTGATAACACCGATGTTTTTAGTTGCTGCTCAGTAATGTTTACTCTGACCAAGGACTTTGTGAGCCTCATGCTCTGCCAGGGAGGAGGGGAAGCCAGGAGGAAGCAGAGACAGGACACCTGACCCAAACTGACCAAAGAGCTATTCCATACCACAGCACGGCATGCCCACTGTATAAACTGGGGGCAGTTACCTGGAAGGGCTAGGTCACTGCTCAGTCAGGCTGGGTATCAGTCAGTGGATGGTGAGCAGTTCTATTCTCTCCCCTTGTTATTTCCCTTATCATTATTATCATTGGTGGCAGCAGCAGTGGTTTGTGTTATGCCTTAGTTACTGGACGGCTCTTATCTCAACCCATGGCAGTTACATTCTTTCGATTCTCCTCGCCATTCCTCTGGGAGAAGGGAGAGGAAGAGGTCAGGGGAGTGAGCGAGCAGCTACATGGTTCTGGGTTGCCGGCTGGGCTTAAACCACAACGGTTCTTTTTGGAGCCCAAGATGGGGCATGAAGGGTTGTTCATCACCTCTATACTTTGGGAGGTATGTAACAGAAGTGTTCAGCAATTACACACCTTTTGTTTCCTCCTCGGGTGGTCAGCCTGTGAAGGAGACATTCCCTTACCTTCCCAGCCCCCCACCAGACCATTTACAGCATCATCTGAGAGTTCTGAAGGATCTGAATGGCCTTTGGGTACCCTTGGCCTGCTGTTTGTGATGGGGATCACCATGCTGGCACGCATACAGAGTGTGTTTCACCCACGACTATTTCATCTGATCTCAAGAGTTCAGCAAAGTCAGGTTTGGGTCTTGTCTGGGGTTCGATGACAATACAGGAGGACCAGGAGTTTCTCCCCGAGGCTGGACAGCCATGAGTGGCAGGGTGTGTGGGACAGTATGGGCAAGTATGTAGGTCAGTGGGCCCCTCCAGTGCTCTGGAACTTCACCACTGAACAAGGGCAAAACCCAGAAAAATCAGTAAAACACTCAAAGGAGGTGTGTGGTCATTCTGGCCATACCAGAGAGGGACAAATCATGGCAATGTGCTGGGGCTTGGCCTGTGCTTACAGAGCCCTGGTCAACACTGTCCAGCACCTTCAAAGCAAAAAACTGTCTCTGGATCTGAGGGCAAAGCAACAGTCAGCGTGGCTACTCCAAGCACAGCAGCTGCACCACCCCTACTGACAAGTACAGCAGCTACTCAAACTCTGACTACAACAGAGAACACTGCTAATCCGATTCCAAGCACAGCAACTGCACCAACCCCAGTGACAAGGACAGCAGCTACTCAAACCCCAACAGCAACAGGCAGCACAGCAGCTGCACCAACCCTGACAACAGACACTGCAGCCACTCGAACCACAGTGATAATCCCTGCAGCTAAACCAAAGGACCAACTCGTGACAGTATCGGTTGCCCCTGTACACAAGGGGAAAAGCAAACAAGAGGCACAAAAAGCAACCCGTACAGCAAAGAAAGATGAACCAATGTACTTACTACACAGGACAGCATCTGATTAGGAGTTCTTATTACGTGAATCACAGGAAGAAGAGGTGACTTCTCGACCCTGCACCTCAACCAAGCTATGGAATATGCGAACAGATTTTACCCATCAGCCAGGGGAGCACATCATCACCTGGTTGCTTCAATGCTGGGACAATGGGGCTGCTGGTCACGAACTAGAAGGTACAGAAGCCAAGCAGCTGGGATCACTTGCTAGGGAAGGGGGAATTGACAAAGCAATTGCAAGAGAGAAAAAGTCCCTCAGCCTTTGGAGGCGGCTCTTGGCAGCTGTGAAGGAAAGGTTTCCATACAAGGATGATGTTATGAGTCATTCTGCCAAGTGGACCACGCTAGAGAAAGGCATCCGGTCTGTGAGGGAATCAGCCACTGCAGAGATGATCTACTGTAGATGATCTACATGCTGGGAACGCACCCATAGATCCAGGTGAAGTCGAATGCACATGACCCATGTGGTGGAAATTTACCCAGAGTGCACCATCATCCTGTGCCCACTCACTGGCATGACCTAGCACCACCAACAGTGGATGAAGTGATTCGTCAGCTCTGAGAGTTCCAAAGTTTAACTCCGATTTTGTTACCAACAGCCTCCTAAGTCCTGGGTTTGTTTTTCTAGAGCATTTGTAGCTAACAGGAAGCTTCAGCCCCTTTGAGCAAAATCAGCTTTAAAAGCATGCTCAGGGCCTGGGTCAGTCAGTTGGATGCAAGCACAGAGGAGCAGCCAGGGGCAGGCCATCCATGCAGCTCTTCACATTGATGAGCACAGATCCTTTAGTCTTGCAAACTGGGGTGTCCCTGGGGAGTTTTGCACCAGAAGGCTGGAGCACATGGCTCGGGAAGCCTATAGAGCACCAGGGCAATCAGGGGAACACATGGTGAAACATCTGGCATGGAGTGTATACGTGTGCCTCGACCCCTCCATTTCATTAGGGGATGTAACCATTTCTTTTAGAGCTGCTGAGCGAGCTGGCCAAAAGTTGTTCTTGTCTCACCCACTGCACATGGACAGGCAAGGAATGGACTGAACAGAAATTTTGCCTCTTCCTCCATCATCTCTCAGCATTAAAGCAACAAACTGGGGAAGAAAAATCATTTTGTGGCCAGGCTGAATTGTTTTCCTAAGAAAGAGCTTTGTAAGATTGAGTTAACCAGTGCTATCATCACCAGTTTTAACACACGTTTTTACTTCCAACAGTATTGTGCTAATGAAGTGTCACACGTCCTCTGCCTCCTACAGAACGTGGGACAGCTGCTGCTGGGGTCAGTCCAGAGGCAGTTACCCTTTACCTGCCACACCAGTCCTACCTTCCTGCATGGCAGCTTCAGAGGTTGACCGTTCAGCAGCTTCTGTAGCTGTAACCTGCCTCGTGGCCCACGTGTGTTCAACCTGGCTGCTGTGGAGTGCCGGTGAGCATCCAGCTTGCTACCGTCAAATGATACCCGAGTGGCATCTTCACAAGGCCAACAAGAGGCTGTGAAAGAGAAACAAGGCAACAGAAACCAGGATGGGAAAGAGAAGTCTGGACTGTTTAAACTAAAAAGTGGGCTAAAAGCCCCTATTGCAAACAATCACCTTCTCACAAGGGTTTTGCTAGAAGAAGTGATACAGGTGTTGGAATAATGGTTAGTGCCACAGGAAAGACAATTCACTGTCCTGTAGGCTCCATGAAACACGTGTGAATTTGGGATTAATCCTGACTGCTTCCAAAAGTCCAAAAGACTGCTCAGAACTGCACTAAGCAGGTGTTCTGCAAGCTACAGGGCTGTAAAAGACGAAAGATTCTAGCAACCACAATAAATCTATTGTTTTCTGCTTGTAAAT